ATATATATGAGTGTATTACCAGTGTTGTGCAATGCTCATGGAGGCCAGCAGAGGGCATCTGATCCACTGGAATTGGAGTTATGGACAATTGTTAACCTCCATGTGGGTGCTGAGAACCGAATCCAGGTCCTCTGCAAGAGCAGCCATCTTAACAGCTGAGCCTTCTCTCTAGCACCTCTGTCACAGTTTTAAATTAGGAGGAAAAAATGATTTCCATTCCATAATTCTATATCAACTCATACCATAAATTAAATTTGATAATTTTCAGAGCCTATAAAGCCTCTAGGATTTTTTGTATTGGAAGATATTTTTCATTAGAATTAGAACAGAACCTGAAAAATATAATCACGTATGTATTTAAATCTACTATAGGTAGAATAAGATAGCAGCTGCCTGAATGATGATGATGGGATTTATGGTGACCGTGGCCTGAGGGTTGGAGAGTGACCACTAAAGCTGAGGGGTGACGATGAAGGAGATGCAGGAGCTCTCTTAATTAAAACACACACATATACTGTGTGTGTGTGTGTGTGTGTGTGTGTATGTGTGTGTGTGTGTGTGTGTGTGTGTGTGTGTGCCTGGCTATTGGAATTCCATGGGATTTGCTAAACGATGGATGGTGCAAAAGTAGGTTTAAAAATAAGCCACTAAATGAAGAAATTAGTAATCATGGTAAAGTACATAAAAATATAGGAAAGTTAACACAAGCATTATATATGTATACACACACATAACTGTGAATAGTGTTTCCATAGTTATACAAGACACTAAATATAAATTTAACCAAAATGTTTTTGGTAGCAACAGTGCAGAATTAAAGGGAAGTCTGTGTGTGTATGTGTTTATATGGGTTGTGTGTGTGCGTGCACACGTGTTTGTGCACTTGTGTAGACTGCTGAAGATTTGTGCATTCATGAGGACTGCAGTGTCACTGCTGCTTTCTCTTCTTATTCTGCTATGACACTGTACACTGAGCTGTCTGCAGCTGCCCGGAGCCTGATGTGGGGCCCAGGTGCACTTGTAGCAGCTTCATTACCAGCACCTGCGACATCCGCTCTCTCAGAAGAAAACCACTGAGAGCATGAGAAGACAACACAGTGGTGTCCCTCAGAACAGGCTGCTGTTGATTCCTCTGTGAGGTTTATTTCTGGTTTCCTCTGCTGTGTAGAGCCTGGTCTCTGTGGCAGCCACTGATAATCATGTTCCTTTGAGCAGGTCAGTGTAGGAACCAGGATCACAGCTGATCCTGATCACTGCTTTGCAGGAAGACACTCCTTACTAGCAGGCAGTGCCAAAACGCTCCCCAAATCCAGATCTGAAGTGGGTTCTTCCTCTAACCCCCAGTGCTAAAGTATTGAGGATACCTGGCAACTATTCCAGGAATACACTCAAATCATTTGAATATGTATGAAAACAACTGCATCATTCTCCTTAAAACTCATCAAATTAAATCTTTAAGATGAAAAGCCAAAGGGGTGTGTACCACTTTCCTGTGGTGGTTTATAAAAACATTTAAAACATCAGTCCTAAAACTCCAGCCAAATATTAAACAAAAGAAACAATTTATTGGTCCTGACGTGAACCCCACACACAATTATATTAAAAGTAATTTCATGAAAAAGAAGAGAGAGAGAGAGAGAGAGAGAGACTGAAATGGAATATTTTGACATTTTGTTCAGAGACAGATTAAATGATCTTTCACAGTTAACTCATGTTGTAATATCACTGATCACAAATTCACCATATATTTGGTTTTACTGTTCTCAGAGGGGAAGGAAACTACATGACTGGACAGATCCATGGTGACTCCATTCTATGTGGCTGGGAACCCACGTAAAGGATTTACTTTTCAGCGAAAGCTAAGCTGATAGATCTGCCCGTGACATTAGTTTTGTTTTTATATCATATTTATATTTGGTACATTGAACTGAACAACTTTATTTATGATTCATAAAACTTCAATCTTGAGGGATTGGAGAGATGACTCAGCAGTTAAGAGCACTGACTGCTCCTTCAGAAGATCTGGGTTCCATTCCTAGCACTAGCATCCACATGGTGGCTAACAACCATCCATTACTCCAGTTCCAGGGGATCTGACACCCTCTTCTGACCTCTGCGGACATTGCATAACATGGGTGCACCTACCTACATGCAAGCAATATACTCCTACACATAAAATTAAGATTAATAAATAATTTTTTAAACATCAATCTTGAATTTGAATTTTTTCATTCATATTGATATAACTTCATTTTCTAAATGTATCATAAATATGATTTGCTTATAAACTGTGTGCAATTTCTTCATCAGTAGGAGATATCATAAAACACATGCATAAAGCCACTTGACATTGTAGGATGATGTAAAACTTTCATAAATGAAGAATATCCAAATATTTTATTTTTGGCTTCAGAGTAAACTCATGTTCTTTGTGGGAATTGGTAAATGGTGCTAAGTCTATAAAACTACAATGTAATCCTCAACCAAAAGACTTACATATGACATCTGATATATTAACAAGGATCAGTGGGCATGAATTATTGCTACTGAATCCAAGCTTTTAGAGGAATCACTGTTCTTAAAAGCACATACATTAAGCCTAGCATGGTGGCATATGCCTTTAATCTCAGCACTCAGGAGATAGAGGCATGTGAATCTCTGTGAGATCAGGGCCAGCCGGTCTGCATAGTGAGTTCCAGGCAGCTGGGGCTACAGCAGGGAAGTCATTGAAGGCTTAATGCATTTATCCTGCATATGTGCAGGTTGTTTTCAGATTCGTACCTGTTAGTGATTTTACTATTTACATAT